TGTTTCTTTGGTTCTGGCTTCACTTAATATTTTTTCAAGTCATTACATTTCCTTATGAATGCAGTGATGTCATTCTGATGGAAACATAGAATTCCATTGTGTGTATATATATATATATATTATATTTTCTTTATCCATTCATCTACTGAGGAGCATCTTGGTTCCATATCTTAGATATGGGAAATAATGCTGCAATAAACATTGTGCTGGTAGCTCAAGGCTGAAATCAGGAAAGCAACTCATTTTGTAATAGCCCCTCATGATGCTCTTTCAATGTGAGTCCTGCAAACATGTTTCTAATCATCTAATGTGTGCAAAACCAGGCATGATGGCACTTGCTTTAATCTCAGCACTTAGGAGGCGGAGGCAGGAAGATCAAGGGTTCAGTGTCAGTCTGGGCTACATAGGTAATGTTCCAGCCTCAACTACTCAGGCAGACCTTTGTCCAAACATCAGGGATTATGGCATACTAAGGCTCTAGATCTGATTGTCAGCACCAGAAGTAGAGTAACTTTTGTTTTTGAAGGGAACCAACCACATCCTGAGTGTCAGTTGTCTGATTCTCATAAGAACAATTGGAGACAATAATTCATAATTTTCTCACCCAATAGTTACAAAGAAACAGTAACAATGAATTTACAAAAATTATTTTGTAAGAACTGCATAAAACTATGCTTTACAATTTCACACTTATATTTCATATGGGCTAGAAAAGTTATTCTAAGAGAGGCCAGAGTACTACCTTTTTAATTCAAGGAGACCAGACAGAATATTGACTAATAGGATTGAAAGTCTGTCTCTATAAATATAACATTAGGTAATTCTTATCTGAAAGGCTTATGCTCAAGTTGGAACACATTTTATGCTGAGAGGAAGGTTTTATTAAAGCTATAATGATTAAACTTTCCATGAAGAGGGATGAGAATGATTTTGTGCTCTATTTTATAATTTAGAAAATTAAATTTCCTAAATTCTGGTTTCTTTTATACTCGTCCTACATACTTGTGAATTTAACTTGATATGGACAAATCTTCAGGAACAGCAATTAATATTGAATGGAGCAAGTTAATGTAAAGATAGCTCCTTATGCAGATTTTCTTAGCAGTGTCTCACACAAACCCAGAGAGGTGATAACTGGCCTAAAGGTATACACGTGTTGGATGACAAATTCAGACATAAAAATCCAGATGCTAACTAAATTAGTCCTCATTTAAATACATGTATATGTATGAGTATATAACTTCAAAGATAAAGACAAATTATTTTTCCACCTTATATTAAATCTCATGCAAAATCAGTTTATAACAACTGAATCATGGTACATGAACAGTTATTTTTAGACCGATGTGTTTTCATAGGTTCTTCTCTATGGAGTTATCTCCTGCCTGGAATTGTGGGGTAAGTACTAAAATAATGAAGCAACACCCCCAGTGGCTGACAATAAGACATACACACATATGCATATACACACATAATACATCAGTCTTATATATATATGGGAAACAAGGTTCCTGGCAACAGACTGTCTTAGAACAATTTCCAAATTGTGCTTCTTGTGGCTCTGAAAGAGTATGTATAATTATTTAATTTCAGATCAAAAACTACCATCATGATAATGTTGAGAGATAAAAGAGCTTCTGATTATCCTCTTCGGGATATCTCCTACACATATTTGATCTCCCAAGAAGTATCTTAGAACCACTCAGTTAGCAATGAGCCACTTCTGATTGAGAAAATCAATTTACTTCAGTCAAGAATTATTTACACTTTCACACACACACACACACACACACACACACACACACACACACACACACACGAGTTAAGTTCTCAGAGAACAGTCATTAACAATATGATGGCTCAATTTATGGAGTCCTTAATATTCTTGAAACCCTTCTGAAGGGAATTAACATTTATTGAGTATAAATGGGCTAAACACACATTAAATTATCTCATAGGCTACGCGGACATAAAATTACCAATTAATCTTAAAGCAGTCCCAAGAGTGAGTTATCATGATTCCTATTTAGAAAACATAACTGCATGCTGTGGTGGAGTTGAGCTACACTATCCCACACTCTCCTTCCACAGCCTGGATATGTGCTGTAAGCTGGCATGATTGAATTAATTCTAGTCCTGGAGGTTAAGTAAGGACAATTGAAGAAAGGAGAATCAGGTAGGTGGTTAAAAAAAAAAAAAAGAATGCATTTGTACTTTTAAGCTTATATGAAAAAGATTAGGTAGTTTAATTAAATATTTCACTAATTTATCCAACTTGTTATAAAATAGAATTTATAAACTTAAGATCACATTATTTGTTGAAGCACCATACTTTTAAATGAGTTAGGATAGTTTGTTTAATAGGTCTTGGGGCATAAACTCAGTTCCTGGTCACTGTCCTTGATCTTTTCTGCTCTGCTCTACCACTTGAGCCACAGCTCAATGTTTCGTTTTTTGGTGGTTAATTGGAGACTAAGAGTCTCATGGACTTTCCTGCCTGGGCTGGTTTTGAACCGCGATCCTCAGATCTCAGCCTTCTGAGTAGCTAGGATTACAAGTGTGAGCCCAGCCGAGTTAGGATTTTTAAAACTTAATCTTTTTTGTTTATTTTTTTTATCTTTTTAAGCAAACTCTTAAGATTTAAGCAAAGGTGACAAACACATGGGTTTTAAAACTTAACCCAGAAAAAGTAGTAAGTGAATACCAGTAATGGGGAAACTGATTTTCGGTGGGGATATAGCTAGCTGGAAGTTTTCACTTACTGGCTGGGCCTGGGATGAGCCTACATTTGTTTGATCCATTCAACAATATGCAGGCCCCTGTGCCATGTCTCCTGTCTTGGTTTCTGATGCAGGAAATGTTGACAACTCATCACAAATCTCAATGGACGAATCAATCTGTCAATACTGAGCTACCTACCTATGTGAAATAGAGTCCTTCTTCATTAGTCATCATTGGGATTTGTCAACATGCCTGCTTCCCCAGATTGATTTGCAAGTCTGCATCTATAGTCATGGCACTGATAGTCCTTCACAGACATATGAAAGACATATTAAAATCCAAGTTTCCCAATAGCAAGATGAGGGAGAGGAAGGTAGCAGATGGTGACAGGCACTTGGTCAGCTTGTTTTAGTTCTTAGACTGCTGGGAAGTGTCCTGGTCTTTATTTATTTCTGTTGGTGATTTTTTCTGATTCACATGGCCCCCAAGTGTAGTGGTAAAGTGGTGTAAGTTCAAGAAAGCTGTGACATTGGAGAAAATATATATGTTGGTCTCTTTCAGTATGAGTCTCTTTCAGTTGGCCCTGAGTTCAATTATGATGAATTAGCAACAATATGAAAGAAAGTGTCTTTCAACAGAGTACAAGTGAAACACCACTGTGTGTTCAGCTGACTATTAAAATGGGGTGACCAGAGGGTTACAGACACTTGACCTCATGTTCTCCCTTGGAGCAGTGGCTCAGCATCTGCTACTTGAGTATGCACAAGACACTGCATAGAACATTAGCAGGAAAGCCAGCCTCAAAGCCAGGTGCCTTTTCTGTTCTTTGGAAGGGCCTATTTACATGAGGGGATTGCTTCAATGAAAAATTCGTGGTGTTACAACTTTACTGGTTGTATTCAACCACGTTCAGGAATTCATCTATTTCCCATCATGTCTGTCTTAGTTTCCTGCCCCTGACATAACAAATCAGCATGAACACCAACTTAAATATAACTTAAATATATGAATTTATGAGTTTACAGCTCTGAAGGTCATAAGTTCAAAAGTGGATTTTACATAAATCAAATTCAGGTGTCTCCATGTTTATCCTCTTTCTGGAGGCTCCTTTTCTGGTTCAAGAGGCTTTTAGATTATTTGTTAATATCTACATACCTCTGTGACCTCTCCTTTCATGAACACATCTTTTCTAACTCTTCTGCCTCCCTCTTCGAGTGTAAGGACTTTGTAATTAAGGATGTTGTTTCTAGTCCTGTGAATGATATGTTCCTTAGTCCCTATTCATTAAATTGTAGTACCTTTATAAAGGCTAACATTTTTCTTGGCAATTTTCTTTTTTTTCTTTTTCTTTTTAAATTTTTATTGTGAAAATACCGTACAGAGAGGTTACAATTACATGGGCAAAGTAATGAGTACATTTCTTATCAAGCATTGTTGCCTCTTCCTTTGTTTCTCCTTCCCAACCTTTCCCATCTCCCCCCACCCCCCTCGCCCCACCCGGCCAAAGCTGTAAAGTTTATTTTTCAACATTACTACTTGTACATCTCATTGTTGCAATGGGTCCACCTGTATTCCAATTTAAACGGTTTGTTTTTGCCCTTCCCTTCCACAAATTATACCAAAATCAAAGACAATGAAATCAGGGGTTATACCGTGGGGGAGGGTCATACAAAGCAACAAAGAAATCATCTTATAAATATTTTAGAAACAATGGCAAGAAAGAAAAAAAATTTGAATACTTATTTTGGGGTTCATTTCACCTAACATTAACTTATCTGACCTTTTCTGCTTTTCTCAGAGATATACTAGTTATTGCAAATAAGGGAAACCATGGGACCTATGTTTCTTTGGGCCTGGCTTACTTCACTTAATATAATTTTTTCCAAGTCTTTCCATTTCCTAACAAATAGAGCAATGTCATTCTTTCTGATGGAGGCATAGAATTCCATTGTGTATATATACCATATTTTCTTGACCCATTCACCTACTGAGGGACATCTGGGTTGGTTCCATATCTTAGCTATGGTAAATAATGCTGCAATAAACATAGTTGTGCTGGTAGCTTTAGTACGGTCTTGTTTGTGATCATTTGGGTAAATGCCCCAAAGTGGGATTTCTGGGGAGCTCTATGTGGAGTCTTTTGAGGAACCTCCAAAGTGGTTGAACAAGTTCTTGGCAATTTTCTTAGAATTATTGATAGAGTCTGATATTGGGTAACACGATCCCTTTGAACCTATGCTGTTTTCATTATTGCTTTATTTATTTATTTCCATATCTAGTCCTCAGAGCCGAAGAGAACCATTTGTATGTCCAGAGATGAATTCATGCAGAGGATGACAGAGACCATTGGTTGGGGCACCAAAGAAGAATATGGGGAGCTCTTTGACAAAGTGGATGTGGCCCGGGATGGCTTTATTAATTGGGACAAGCTGACTTCCTTTATTCTGTTATCTCTTTATGAGAAAGATGAGCGAACCAAGGCAATGGTGGTTCCTCAGTGGAACAATCTGGAATTCCTCCCTGGAAAACACAAGGACACTATTCAGAAAGTAATTTTCTTAAAAAGTTCCGGTCGTTACCTGACTATCAGTAAAGAAGGTTTGTTAGGGCTCTGGGGAGAGAATTTAAAGCTCCAAGAAACACTTCCTATCACATCAGATGCCACCAAGCTCAAACATCTGTGGGTAACAAGTCTGGTGTCTCTGGAAAATGTAAACAAGGTAGGAAACCTTTCTAAGTTTTTCTAAACTCCTTTGTAAATAATAATAATAAATAGTAATAATAAAATTAGATAAGATGAAAAGAAAAATGAGGACTAGGGCAGGGGGAATAATGAGGCAGGGCTCCTGATCAGTCTCAAGTGTAACAGCTGCAGTGAGATTTGGCTGACTCCTGGTGCAGGTGCAGGTTATCTGTTCTGGAGGAAATGGAAGTAGAAGCAAATGAACTCCTTGGTTTCCCAAGCTGTTCCCTGCTGCCTTGAAATGATAATGGCTCAGACTCTTAGCTCTGTCTCAAATGCATCCCCACAGCACTGCTAACTGGCAAGTTAAGTTTGTAGCAGACTGGTGACTCCCACACAGAGCAGAGAGGCATGGGACAGCTTAATGTAAAGAGAAACTCTATCAGTCTGACTTAGACCAAATATCTTCACCTGACCAAGGAAAGATGGTGTAAAGAAACTAACTTTGTAGTAGAAGTTGTAGCTTAAAGAATTAATATTCTTTCCATTGTGGGGGTTGAACTTGGGATCTTGTACTTGTTAGGCAGGTGCTGTACCACTTGAACCATGCCCTAGCCCTTTTTGCTTTAGTTTTGTTTTTTTTTCATAGGGCCTTGTGGTTTTGCTCTGGCTAGCTTTATATTTTATATTGTCCATACCACCTTGCCCATATATTAGTTGAAATGGGGTCTTGTTAACCCTTGAACCATGATTCTCCAGAGTAACGGAGGTAACAGGTGTGAACCACTGTACTTGGACAAGAAAATCTATATACTCATGTCTTATGTCACACAGATGATAAAGTTTACTCTGAACAGCTTCATGAGCACATATACAAGCTTAAAGAACAGTTTGTAGAACCTGGAATGCCCTGGGTCACTGAAACCATTGCTAGTCTATTTTCCCTATGTCTACCACATTGACATCTAAAGCTTCATCCAATCATTTCATTTGTCAATACTTCTGCATTTCTATGTTCTTAGCAAAACAAAAATACCAGTACCATACCTATTATTAACAAATAATCACTGGCTTTTATGATACGAACCTCCATCCTAGCTGTGCTAAGATGAAGGAGGACCAGGGCAGGGACCAGAGCAACATTCTATCTCTGTGGAAGAAACTGCGCATGGTGGTATGAACCTGTCATCCTAGGTAGAGTGGATGATATTAATAGGAGGATCGCAGTCTAGGCACATACTCAGGCTGAAAGTGAGACCCTATTTTAGAGATTATGAGTGCAAAAACAGGATTGGAGTTGTGGATCAGTAGAAGAGAATGTGACTTAAAGCATAGGGCTCTAAATTTAAATCGTAGAACTGCAAAAAAATAATAAAATCCTTGATGTCATCAACTAGAGTCATATATCCAGTCTCCTGAGTGTCTTAAGATCTAAGTAAGATTGTTAGCTTTTGAATTATATTTTTTATGGTCCTTTCTTTTTATTTTTTTTGAATCCAAGGCCTCATGCATCCTAAGTAATTGCTCTACTATTGAGCTATACTCTAGTCATTATGACTATTTTGATCTACATGATTTATTATTTTTTCTGGTTTTATTTCTGGCTATTGAAGTTGACGTTTTTGATAGACACTTTGTATCTGTCCCTGAGCGTTTCCCATATTTGGACTTTGCTGCTTATACAGGGGGTGCACACTCAAGTGAGTTGTCGTCAAGTTGAAAGTCTTGTTCAATTTCAGGCTTGTTTGTGTTTTTGGAACAGGTTAGCATTAGGAAGTACAGAACGCTCCGTTCTTTCTAGTTTTAGGATAACATCAGTTATTGTTGATTATTTCATAATCGATCACTAATTAGAGGTTGACAGATGATATCTTCATGTCATCATTTCCTTTGCCTCTACAATCTGGAACACTTCTATTAAAAACAATGTACTTCTCTCATTTAATTGTCATGAGTTACACGTTACATAACAAAGGCAGGATAAATGCCCAGTTCCCCATTTTTATTTACCAGTTTTCAAAATAATGAAGTGTTTTTATGGTATCCTCTAACAGGGAACACTGAGTACTGTTGCAATTTTTGTTATCAATAACATTAAAAATGCATAAATTAAAAAAATTGGCTTTTTTTTCCCCAATCCACTTTGGTATTCTCCCATACCAAGTAGTGTATCATCTTTAGACACAAGTCAGCTTCTGACTTTTTTTTTTGTTTTTTTTTTTTGGCCACTCATGGGGCCTGAACTCTGGGCCTGGGAGCTGTCCCTCAGCTCTTCAGCTCAAGGTTACGCTTGAGCCGCAGCACCATTCTGGCTTTTTCTTCTGCATATGTGGTGCTGAGGAATCAGACCCAGGGCCTCATGCATGTGAGGCCAGCACTCTATCACTTAGCCACCTTTCCAGCCCCAGCTTCTTTGACTTCTTTGAAATCTTTCTTGCTTTTGGGGATGCTAAGATGTCCCAGGATGGTCTTGTATCTTTCCTCTGTGAGGCCTAGAAATAGTAACTTTTTGATAGGCTTATGTGTACCAGATAAACTGTTGCCTAATCTCATAACATTGTTTTCAGCTATGGTAATTTACATAGCTTCAAATCTTTCACAAATATTGAGACTTTTTAAAAATCCCCTAATACACGGTATATCTGAGAGGACAGTGTCTTTTGCTGTTCTTGGGTGAAATGTCCTATTAATATGTGTTAGACCTAATTGGTTTATTTTTTTTTCAAGACTTGTATTTTCTTTGTGATCAGTTACCCATTTGCTTTGTCTGTTACTGAAAGTCAAGTTATCATTAAAATGTTTTTCTTCAATTCTTTCAGATTTTGGTCTGTATTTTGTACTCTGTTAGAAAAAATGAGAATGCAAATGTTCTCTTGTCAGTAAATATGTTAAGTCTAATGAAGTCAGTACTTCAATTAAAAAGCAGATAATTGGCAAAATGGTTTTTTACTGAATTATTTATACAAATTTATTAATAATCTGGTAGAATACCATACACACACACACACACACACACACACACACACACACACACACACACACACACACACATTCATAGTCGGAGGAAGTCCTAAAGTTTGAACTCACAGCTTCATGCTTGCTAGAAAGGCACTCTACCATTTGAATCATTCCTCCAGCCCTTTTTGCTCTGGCTATTTTTGAGACAGGATCTCATTTTTTGCTCAGGCTGGCCTGGAAAATATTTCACCTATTTGTACTTTCTGCTACAGCTGAGTAAAAGGTGTATATAAGAACATCCAGATTTTTCTGTTGATTATAGGGTCTGGTGGGATTTTTACTTAAGCTAGCCTCTAACTTCAATCCTTCTGATACCTACCTACTGAGCAGCTAGCATTATAGGCCTTGCTCCTTTATTTAGGTATTGTTCCTTTTATTTTTTCTTTCTAACATAATTGTAATAGCTGAGTTAAAGTATTTGACTATCAAATCCAACAGGCAGACTCCTACAAGGACAGTTTGTCCTGATTCACTTTTGTGCTGTTAAATCATTTACCTTTACAACAAAGGTCCTTTACAATGGACCTTTTATGATTTTATATAAGTTACACAGTTGTCTAAAAACGAATTGATTTCTGTGAATGACTGCTTACTTCATAAAACATCATTAGGGAAGTTTTTGGTGTGTTTGTGTGATGCTATAGCTTTCTGTGCCTCTTTTGAATGTAATTAGTCCTTTAAATTGCTATGGCTCATAGATTCTGGTGGGTGTGTAAAGTAGAAATAAGAGAGAAAGGCTGTTAGACTACCTCATGGAGACAAAGCTAGAAAAAAGTATATTTGTGTCAGCCCTTCTATACTTGTGTAATATGATCAAGGACCCTCAATGGATGAGGTCTGATTTCTTAATTTTATTTGCATGTCTGCTTTGTAGATTGAGTCTACAAAATATACCACAAATGCCTCACACTATTCTATTCTGCTATTTTAGATAGCAGTAGCTTTTACAACTAAAGAGATTTGCTTCTATGATCTACTATCCAAGGAAGACTTTCCTTGTCAATACAAAGTTCAAGGCCTGAAAGGAGCACCAATTTGCATGGATTATTGGTACGATCCTCTTGATGCCAATGAATCAGTTCTGTCTTTTGGAGATATAACTGGAAAGGTAAGTGAGGGATGAGAAAGGGTGAGCATTGTGGATTTAGTCATCAAACTTCAGCTCAAAGTAGAAATTAAAATACCATAAATATGGCATTCTACATTATAGGTTATGTGGTCACATATTATGGATGGCAAAGAGATGGATTAGATGACAATTCGTCGTCTTGCCTGTAAAAACAAATCTTCATTGTGTTATTCTGTTTTGTGTATATTTACATTTTCCTTATTTAGAAAAAAATAGTTGGCTAATATTTTTTCATCATAAAATGCCCAATCTATTAGGTTACAGTATTAATAAAAGGTTAATGTTAAATGGAGCAAACCTATCTTTCAGAGCCCTTTTAAAGCAATTCTGATTTTCATTGAGAAGCTTTGAGGTGCTTAGTTCTATGTGCACTAAGGAGTATTATCCCAGTATCATTTAACAAAGGGATGGAGGCATGGGAGAGGGCAGTATGGAAACCTAGGGGCTAGGGAGTGATTCCTGCCTTCCTGTCAAATGCACGAACAATTACTACTTACTGAATGACACTGGAAGATGCCAGAGACCTCTGAAGCAGCTTAATTTGAATACTTTCCTTTTGTAATCGTGAAAGCTATTTGTCCTTACTCTTTGTAAGCCACAAGTACATCTTAATAGCCAGTAATAAGCTGTTCTTGGTCATCTCTTCACCAACTTTGTAATTGCTCTCTCTTTTTTTAACCAGAATTGCTCATATCCTTTTGATAATCACGAAGCACTTCTTCTTTAACTATCTGTTCCTTATTGATCTTAATGAACATAGACTCCTAGAAGATAATCACCCTACCTGTGTTGTCTTTTTTTTTTTTTTTTTGATATTGTTCCATGACTCTCAAGGTTCAAGCAATTGCTTTCACGGCAGCCTTGATTTCCCTGTTTGAACGGCCTGCGAGTGACTGTGAAGATGAGGAAGCCACCACAACCATCACTTGGGCAGAGCTGGTCTCTGGCTCTCACAAATGCTGCTATGTATTACAACATGCTCTCCATCATGGAGCCTGGGTCCGGCAAGGTACTGAATTCGATCAACATTTATATCCTTTGATCAAAATGTTTTCACAGAAAATGTGTAAGTCTAGGTACCAGTGAATGGTTCCCTGGATGTGTTGGTTTGGACTCTGCTATTCCTTTCCTGTTGGCAGAAATCAGGTCTAAAACCTTTCCATTTAAAATGGATGCTTCCTTCAATTAGCTCAGGTGAACTGTGCACTCAAGCGCTCTCACAAGAAGGAAGAAACTCATCATAAAACCTACTTAGCTTCCACCCAACTCTAATTGTAACTCTCATCATTGTGTGGCATTCAGGACTGCTAATAACACAATAACATCTCCTTTGTTTTCTTTGTGTTTTTAATACATGTGTCAGTATTTGGACTGCTTTCAAAATGAAATTGTCTTAATTTTCATCTTCCCCTCCCTCTCTCTTTCCCTTCCACTTCTCCATCTTTCTGTGATATAATGACTGAGTTCCTGTCATTTAGAACACTTGAAATTCACGGTAATAAATTTTTACTGAAGCAAAGAATGATATTTGTAAAACAGAAATGTCAAAGGAATAACTCAGTTTCAGGAATGAGGGTATGAACATACTGATTTAAGATAAGGTTCACCTTTCTTACTTAAAACTCTGAGGAGACAATGATTTTTTTTATCTTGCTTAAGTGGGTCTGTATTATCTTTTAACAGAAAAATAATTACAATCTTGAAATTCTTTGAAAGTACATATAGCCATTTGGGCAACAGTAGGGAGATAGAAATATCTTGAACCTCAAGGAATTTTCATTATTAACAACTGTCTCCTTGTATGAGCAAATATGTTGGGAATTATAGACTGAGAAAATTATAGATATGAGCATAAAATTGCCCAACAAACAAAAAAATATTGACCTTTTTTATTGCTTTGAAAGGTGGCATCTCACCTTTGTCTGACCAGGGCTGGTAGGTTACATAAAACACTTTAAAATGATAGCAAAAATCACTAATTGCCATAGTAATTAATGGAGCTAGTAGTGCCAGGGAATTGAGATCCAGACAGTAGCTCGAGTCTCCTCTGGGAGCCTTCCTAATTGATGGGAATTAACTTTGGAAGAGAAGCCAGATTTAGTGTCTTGCAGGTTGTTGCTCTAATTCCCTGAATCCATCAGTCCTCCAACCAAAATGAGGCAGCACCACTGGGCAGCTAGGAAAGCTACTTCTCCCACCAGTCCAGCCCTGCCTGAGCTTACAGCAGTTCAGATCCGCTGGGAGCTGGTCGTCTCTTCCTGCAACTTCTATACCTTTTTCTATGTGTTCAGACTTTTGTATAAGAAAGATGTATCTGTTTGGTGTTTTGAAATGCACTAAATCAATTGCGTTATCCTTTAAGAAGATATCAACAGTAATAGGTATTTGTTTATTTGTGCGTGCGTGCGTGTGTGTGTGTGTGTGTGTGTGTGTGTGTGTGTGTGTGTGTGTGTGATATAGTGTGGTGTGCTGATCCTGGGGCTTGAACTCAGGGCCTGGTGCTGTCCCTAAGCTTTTGTGGTCAAGGCTAGTGCTCTACCGTTCGAACCACAGCTCCACTTCCAGCTCTTTGGTGGTTAATTAGAGTCAAGAGTCTCATGGACTTTTCTGCCTGGGCTGGTTTTGAATTTTGGGATTCTCCGATTTCAGCCTTCTGAGTGGCTAGATTTTTTTTTTTTCAGGGTCAAGACCATAACTTGAACTCTGTACCTGCTGCTTTCTCTCATTGGCTAGCACCCTACCAACTGAGCCATGCCTGGATTTCTAAATTTTTACAAATACATTTTGATTACCATCCCCTCACCCCCCCCCCCCCCCCAGTAGTAAAGATTGAACTTGAACTTGCTAGATGAGAACTCTACTACTTGAGCCACCCTTCTAGCTGGTGATTTTTTTTTTTTTGGGTCCGGTCGTGGGGTCTGAACTCTGGGCCTGGGCGCTGTCCCTAAGCTCTTTAGCTCAAGGCTAGCGCTCTACCACTTGAGCCACAGTGCCACTTCTGGCTTTTTTCTTTTTGCTTATGTGGTAATGAGGAATTGAACCCAGGGCCTCATGCATGCAAGGCAAGCGCTCTACCACTGAGCTACCTTCCCAGCCCTAGCTGGTGATTTAAAAAACAAACAAACAAACCATGAAATAGATTCAATGATTCTTTCTTTCTTCTTTGAAATGGTGGTTGCTTCAAACTACACAGAGCCCCATGGTGATATCAGAAGATGGAACTCCAAGTCCAAAGTAAGAAATAAAACAGAAACAAGAAAGCATGCAATAAACGTAAAGATGCTGCTGTGCTATCTCATAAGACTCTTCACGTGAAATTCTTCAAAACTTCAAACAAAAAAAGAATTCTTAGAAACAACCCCATTTTCTCTTGGCAAATGTTGTAGGGTGGCTTAATTCGTCTTACCCTAATGGCACTTAATAATATTACTAACAGCTTTTAGTGATCACCTTGCATTTCCAAGTCCTGTATCCACACTGAATAATTGCTATGACACAGGGTCAATTCTGATGTGCCTATGGGGCAGATACATTACTGATTGCTTTATTATTTTTTTATTTTTTGGGTCTGGTCGTGGTGCCTGAACTCTGGGCCTGGGTGCTGTCCCTCAGCTCTTCAGCTCAAGGCTAGCACTTTACCACTTGAGCCACAGCGCCACTTCCAGGTTTTTTCTTTTTGCTTATGTGGTGCTGAGGAATCGAACCCAGGGCCTCATGTAAGCAAGGCAAGCACTCTACCACTGAGCCACCTTCCCAGCCCCTGCTTTATTTTTATAAATGACAATGTAACAGTGGAGTGGAATGATGGGAAGCCAACCTCTTAAGGTACAAATATGCTCTGGATGTCTTTTTCCTTCCTTCTCAGAATGTTGCATGCAAAACTTTAAAAAACATTCCCCTTCTAAATTTACTGAGAATATTAAAAGCAAAGAGTAATTTTCTCCAGTTCTTCCCATTCCCTGGCTTGATATTTAAAAACAAGAACAAAAACCAAAACAACTTCTCTATGATGACCTATCACTTACTTATCTCAGTTCACGGAGGGAAGGAAATGCTTCTTTTTATCAGATAATTTGATTTTAAGGAAATGGCTTTGCTCTCACCTTTTATTCACACATCTTCAGGAGCCATGGCATTCTACAATTTAATCAGAAACAAGTTACATCTTGGTTTAGATATAAGGTGTGAATTGCGGACACTCCAATATGTAACACTGCTGACCCATAAAATGTCACTTGGTAAAACTTGCAGATTGAAATCTCAAAGCAATGTTTTGGACACACCAGAGCACAATGCTCTTTTACATATGTCTTTTTTTTTTTGTTGTTGGTCCTGGGGGGCCTAGGTGCTGTCCCTCAGATCTTCAGCTCAAGACTAGCACTCTACCATTTGAGCCACAGTGCCACTTCTGGCTTTTTTGCTTATCTTGTGCTGAGGAATCAAACCCAGGGCCTCATGCATGCAAGGCAAGCACTCTACCACTGAGCCACCTTCCAAGCCACATATGTCTTTATAGCTTTAAAACTAAAGGTGTCAGAGCTGGGAAGGTCCCTCAGCTCTTCAGCTCAAGGCTAGCGCTCTACCACTTGAACCACAGCACCACTTCTGGCTTTTTTTGCTTATGTGGTGCTGAGGAATCGAACCCAGGGCCTCATGCATGCAAGGCAAGCACTCTACCACTGAGCCACCTTCCCAGCCCAGGGATTGTATTCTTATCCCCTCATTTTCCTTCTGCCCTTTTTTTCATCTGTTCTCTCCTTCTAGGGAAGAAATGAAGAAAAAGGAAGATGGCAGGGAAGGAAAAAGAAGGAAAGAAGTTGGGAAGGGAAGGGAAAAAAGGGAAGAAGGGGAAGGGAGGGAAAGAGAGGGGAGGGGAAGAGAAGGGAGGAAGGGGAATAGAGGGGAGGGGAAGGGAAAAGAAACAGGAAGGAATCAGATCCTATAAAAAGTTAGAATTTTTCAGGATGCCAGTGGCTCCTAGCTACTCAGGAGGTTGAGATCTAAGGATCATGGTTCAAAGCCATCCCAGGCAGAAAGATCTCCTTGAGACTCTTATTTCCAATTAACTGCTCAAATACTGGAAGTAGAGCTGGGACTCAAGTGGTAGAGTGCTAGCCTTGAGCACAAAGAGGTTCAGGGAGAGTGCCCAGGCCCTGAGTTCAAGAACCACAACTGACAAAAAAAAAAGACTTTTTATCTTCTTTAGGGAATATTTTCAGGGACATAAGATCATCTGTTGCTACTATAACTTTACTAGAATCATGAAAAGTGTAAGTTCTGATATGTATTCCTATTCAGGAAGTAACCTCACTGAATAAACTTTGGCTTGCAGAAATATGATGGATTATTATCACTTGACACACACTAAGTCAGTATCATAAGATCTAAAGAATATACCGTTACACTCTGGTATATCTTCAAATCCATGAAAATTATTTAATATAATTATAAGACAACCAAAAAATATTTCTACCCTAATAATTTCTCCCATTTGATCCAACTGACAACTTTAGTTTAGTTTTGTTTTTTTTGTTGTTGTTGTTTTTTGGGGGGGGTCCAGTTGTGGGGCCTAAACTGTGGGCCCACTAGAACTAGAGTTCAGGCCCTACAACCAAGCAAAAATAAATAAATAAATAAATAACACAACCCCTGTGGGGACAGGCACCAGTAGAACTGTGAAGGAATTAAGAAAGGAAAATCTGGAGATGGAGTATGGGATTGATCTGGGGTTGAAGGTCATGTGGTGCAGAAATGGAGTTGGCAGTAGGTGGAATTCCACATTCGGTCCTGGCATGCGCATGGCAGTATGGCTTTTTAGAAACAGAAGATACAGCAGTACTGAGAAGGAGTGCTCACAGCCAGAGAGAGCGGGGGCCAGTCCCAATTAGCCAGGTGCCCTTGGGCAGATTGGATTTTGGGATGCCTATCTTCTCCTCAGCAAACTCTGGATAGGATAATTTATCCAGCAAAGATTATTACAGAGTGAGAACTGCAGGCCTGCAGCCTGGTACAGGAGCGAGAGTTCACAGATTGTTTTCACAATGATAAAAAGTAACCCATAGGTCAAGAGGAAGTTACATAATGGGGGATGAGTAAGAAATATAATATCCAAGTGGTACTCTAATGCAGAGCAGAGAGGTGGACCATTCTGGGGGCTGGCAAGCCTTCTGTAGCCCATAACCCCCTTCCCAGTGACTTGAACTGCACATCCGTGAGGCAGTGCTGCTACGCAGAGTTCCTCTTTCTCAGACTCTTTTATCCTTCAATAAGTTGCTTTCTGGCATTAAGAGAATTCTAGTATCAAAGGCCAGTTAAACTCATTCACATGAAAGGAACAGAAGCTAAAAAGAAAACCCCAAAGTAGGTATTACCCAACATAGTGTTATGAATTATGATGATGATGATGATGATGAAAAGAACTTAAGGAATTACCTGAAAAAACAGGTAGAGAGTGGTTTCTTAGTCCCAACTCACCGGCAGTTATAAATTCATAATCTAAGTTCCTCAGATCTGCTATGATTGGAAGATTTATGAATAATAATGGGAGGTTCTTTAAATCTTGCTATTTTATAAGAAATTTTGTGAATGAATTTCTTTTTTTTATTGTTAAAATACCGTACAGAGGGGTTACATGGGCAAGGTAATGAGTATATTTCTTATCAAGCATTGTTGCCTCCTCCTTTGTTTCCCCTTCCCATCCCTTCCCATCCTCCCCCCCCTACCCTCAGCCAAAGTTGTAAAGTTCGTTTTTCGACATAATGTCTTGTACATCTCATTGTTGCAATGGGTCCACCTGTATCCCTATTTAAACAATTTGTTTTTTTCCCTTCCCCTCCATAAATTATACCAACATCAAATACAGTGAAAACAGGGGTTATTCCGTGGGGGAGGGACATACAAAGCAACAAAGAAATCATCTTATAAACATGTTAGAAACAATCGCATGAAAGAAAAAAAATCTGAGTCCTTATCTTGGGGTTCATTTTGCCTAACATCAATTTATCTGACCATCTCCTTGTCTCAGACATATACTAGTAATTGCAAATAAGGGAAACCATGGGACCTATGTTTCTTTGGGCCTGGCTTACTTCACTTAATATAATTTTTTCCAAGTCTGTGAATGCATTTCTTCTGATGGAGAGAGGCTGTATTATCCATCAGATAGCCAAAGGTGTGGCCTTTGAAAACTCAAGAACCATGGATTAGTCCTGTGGAGATTACAATGGTATTAATACTCTATCTGGGATGTAATCTATCACCTTGTTATTTTGTGTGTGTGTGTGTGTGTGTGTGTGTGTGTGTTTCATTGGTGATAAAAGTCTCACAGATTTTCCTGCTTGGGCTGGCTTTGAACTACAATTCTCAAAACTCAGCATTCTGAGTAACTAGAACTACAGGTGTAAGCCATCGGAGCCTGGCCTGCCTCACTACTTTTAAGTATAGCTCCCAGGGAGTCTCTAAGCAGCAGTGTGTGAACAATACAAAATCTCAAGTTTACAGAGAGCAGGTGAGAGAGTGATTAGTGTACAATACTAAAACTGGAGAAGTTCTGTTCTGGTTGACAAGGGATCATGTCTTTTCTTCTGTGTTTGTATTCAGGCTTTGCCCACAACTAATTCACGGAGCTCGGATGTGTAAAATAGTATGTTGTGTAGTATTCCACCAAACTCAGAGGTAATCTCTAGACTCTAGAACTGAGCTTGTGACAATCATTTGCTGCCTTTGGTGCAAACTGGGACCTGTGGGTGGGACTTCCTCTTTAATCACAAGATAAAGAAATAGAGTACTCCTCTTTTTCAATGATGGACTTTACATTTTGCTTCATACCCTGGAGTTTTGTCATGACCTTTTACTGATTGAAGTGCTATCTTTTAAAAAGAATTTTTAATACTGAAATAATTATTTTTAAGTAATTATACAAAGAAGGTTCAATCCCAGTGCTATAATTTTGTTTCTGAAACTCTGAATAATAATACATATTGCTTCTTTTTCTAATTCCTATTGTAATTTCTGTATCTCTCAATGTATCATTCTACTACATGCTAAAATAGTCCCTTGTTGTTTTGTTTATGCATCTTTACTGTCAAGTTTGGAGCTATATGATTATGATTGTATCTATTTCTTTTTTTTTACTGCAAAAGAGGTGCAGTAATGCCCAATAAGGCTTTGAGAATGGGGTGACATGTCTTAAGAGAGAATATCAATAGATGCCAGTTTCAGTCTCTTTAATGTAGTTATAAATTGGTTATGTAAAGACATTTATTTTCTTTGGAGATAGGTATGAAATATATTTCAGTAAGTAGTTCACATGCCAATATCAGATCTTAGATGAATAAATCCTAGTTGCCTTTAGAAACAACCCAATAGAGTTGGTCAGAGGAAAAGGGATGCATTAAGCCACGCTCTGACTCTCAAAATTTCCTCAGCTTTAGTAATTATTTGGAATTTGTGTGTGCATATGTATATTTGTATACTTATATATGTATATATATCCATATGTATATATGTATATCAAGCTAAGTCCATCAAAGTACCAAAATAATAAAATTAAATGCTCTAAAACTTGTAAGTCTATTTGCACAAAGGTCCCTGTCTTAGTTTGTTCAAACTGCTATAACGCAGTGAACAAAAGAAATTTATTTTTACTGTTGTTTAAGTAGGGAAGCCCAAGGTTATAGTGCTGCAGATTTAGTGTTGGGTGAAGGCTTTTTCCTGATTTATCAATGGTGCTTTCAAGCTGTGTACTTAAGAATAGCAGAAGGGAGCTGGGCGCTGGTGGCTCACTCCTGTAATCCTAGCTACTCATGAGGCTGAGATCTAAGGATCGCAGTTCAAAGCCAGCCCAGGCAGGAAAGTCTGTGAGACTCTTATCTTCAATTAACCACCACCAGAAAAGCAGAAGTGGTGTTATGACTCAAGTGGTAGAGCACTAGCCTCAAGCTGAAGAGCTGGACAGTGCCCAGGTCCAGAATGCAAGCACCATGGCCAAAAAAAAAAGAACAGTGGAAGGGAAAAGGAAACTACCCACCTAACACTTCTGTGTGTATGTGTGTGTGTGTGTGTGTGTGTGTGTGTGTGTGTATGTGTGTGTGTGAGTGTGTGTTTGTGTATGTGTGTGTGTGCATATGTGTGTATGTGTGAGTATGTGTGTGCTGGTTCAGCTCCACTTTCAGGTTTTAGTGGTTAATTAGAGATAGTTCATGGGCTTTCCCTCCTCCAACCTCCTCTTCCTGAGTATTGAGTGTTATATAGCATCACACTTATGCCTAGCCTCACATTTATAAGGGCACTAACTCCATCCTGAGCATTCTTCTCATATGACCTAATTATCTCACCTCTGATGACGATCACTTAGAAGGTTAATATTTCAACATATATATTTGGGAGAATATAAGCTCTCAACCGCAGCCATACCCATTAAAGATCTGTTTTCAAAGCTATCAACAAGTTAGCCTGCCTTTTTCAGTCCAATCAGTAATGCATGCATTATGTGAATAGTAAAGTAAAGATCATTCAGTGAGAGGACACAGACTCCTATGTTAGAGAAAAGATATGCTATTATTCAAAGAAGAGTAAGAAGCATAAGGATTGGCACATTTGTTTCTGTTCCTCTTGGCCCAAATCCATAAAGTCAACAAAGATGGCTCCAAATGAATGCCCGCACATGAATACATTGCATTATAGCAGAGATATTCGCCGAACGTAGAGAACTCTGAATTGTTTATACTGTACAGAGGCATGACCCCCGTCTGCATCAGGACAAACTACTGTCTTATGATTCTTGGCCTGTAATTTGCACCAAAAGGGAGACACTAGCTATACTCTGAGTTGTTTGCTATACGAACATCTCAGCAGAGAATTTGAAACAAAGGGTAGTGGATTGTTAAGTGCAAACATGCTCATTGTCCACTAAGGTTTATCTTCTAAGACTATTGTGGATTCTTTGTAATAACCAGACAAGAATATTCTTAAGAGACAGTCTGTTAACACAACTTCCTTTGAAGCTATGCCCAATGACAGAAATTTTCCTTGGGAGAAGCAGCAATTTGATATTGAGGTCAAGTCCAAAATCTTTTCAATTTTGGGCCAAAATGATGACCTATGCACAATGCACACAAGAAACCTTCCTGTAAGTGGAGGGCTGAGTGGTTTAAGGCTGGTCAGGGGACAGACCCCTTTTGGAACTTGTGATTCTGACAGCAAAAGGACAGTACTTGTGAAAAAGTCAGTGGAGTCACTCTCCTTTCTTGGAGAGGAGGATTTTACCTGCATACGTGCACGCACACACACACACACACACACACACACACACACATATACACACACACCCCACCACCACCAACAATAAAAACAACAACAAACCCTCAAAACACAGCCACTCTGACCCAAATCTCTAGCTGTGCTTTGGACTGACTCTCTACCTTTTTACTCTCAAGCACTCTAGAGCTGTCAAAATGTAAGTGATCTGTCCATTTGAGCATTCACTTGACCTTTAGGGAGCAGCAGATGGTTGCTAAGTTCTTGTCTGCCTGCTCCCTGCCCAGAAGGAAGAACACAGGAATTTGGTCAATCACTCATTTTATGTCTCCAGAATCCCATATGATGATTGTGATTAAAATTATTTCTTACCATGTGTCCTATAAAAATAATTTAAGATATCCCTAGAGTGGGAGGCAAGTCAGAATGCAGAATTTGCTGTGATTTCTCACTGTAAATTCCTTGTTAGGAGTGACAATGGGATGAATGAGTTGTTTTCTGTCTGTTGTGATGTATCATCCTAATCAAGAGTTTATAGCAGAGCCTGTTTAAATATTTTTGTTTTACTAATATCTTGTGAAAAAGCAGCTAAAGAGTATTCTCCTCTTTTTTTAAAAATCTTTTTTGTTTTTCTGTCTAGTTACTTACAATGCATCGTTGGATGCTATTATTTCTGGCACAACCACCGGTACAAACAGTGTGGTGCTAGCTTGGAGAGAGAAATCAAAAAAACATCTTAAAATGACTTCCTTCAACATTGCCCAGGGCGTTCATGGTTTTGATTACCACTCTCGGCTCAATTTAATTGGTATGTAAAATAAATCATGATAACGATGAAGGCCTCGTAAATTGTCTAGGAGGCAGATTTGTATTCATGGATCCTCTCTACCTTGTTGCTTTATTGCCACTGAGACCAAGATGAGCAGCTCATATTTTATTGCCTGAGATTGCCTGATAATGATGCAGTGCATGCGATAGACATTGGGGCGAAAATATGAGAAAGTCCCCCCCCAAAAGTGTTTTAATTTACAATGAGTGGGGGATGGGAAGTGATAGAAAAGATGGTTGGTGCAGTGTCTGCTATTGTATCACAAATGGTTCTGCCTGAATACATCATTCTCTTGGTTATAATTGCTGCTACTGACCACAAACCACACACACACACACACACACACACACACACACACACAGTACAACATATAGGAAAACTTCCAATTACCTTTCAAATTCACTCAATAATGATTTTTCAAATGTTTCCACTTATCCTAGCTTTAGCGTATTGAGGAAGAATTATGCTGAGGCAAAAGAGTTCATTTTTGCTGAGGATATAGAAATGGGTTCAGGCCATTCTGTATTTAAATGGTGTATCTCAACATTCTGAAAACTGTTAATTTTTATGTGTGTGTGTACATTTTGACACACACACAATCACACAAAAGATATGTGCTTGGGACACTAAAGGGTGGTTACAGAGAACCAGAGGATGCGCAAGGTACCCTCATTCCACAGCCATTGTTCATGTGAAGCATAGGGGTATTTGCTGAAGGGTAAATGGCTAAAATTCTCAACCATCATAGCCACCAGTTAGGATCTTAAAATAATTTGAATACAGGCCTAGAAATATGACACCCAAGTTTCCAAGGAGCCCCATGGGTTTGGTAGAGATGGGTAGAGAGGTTGGTGAGTCAACTGGACAGGAGACTCAAACCACCCTCATGTTATGGAGTGAAAACTTAATTCAATCTCTGCATATCAATGACCATTTGTATTTGCCACTATGCTGGACACGTAAGTGCGAATGATCTCAGCTCCACAGTTAGTCCTAACCCAGGGAGAACCAGAAAACAAATTCTGCATTCCACATCCTTAGTAAGTACAGATGTCTCGCTCTTGAAGTGCTTCCCGAGTACCACTAAGTCTTATTTAAAGCATCTACCAGTACTACAGCAGGACAAAAGGATATTTGTGACAGTTGTACATGCTTAACCATTGAAATGATGGTGAAAGTAATTTGTTCCTCGTATTTTTTAAAATTAAATTTGTGAACTGTCAATATGATTTCATTCCACCTTGCTATCTACATTGCTATACTGTGCTTTCTGGAGAGAAGAAGGGTTCCATTTCCCTCTTGGGCTGATGTTTGGTTCCTAAAGGAGACCGGTATTTTTCCTTCCTGCTCATGCATGCCCCTTTCCCTTAGGCCAATACCCCTTTCTTTCTAATCTGTGCATTGGTTGGAGCTCATATATTTTCACAGCTGACTTTAGTGTGCAATGCAAGATCTTCCTTCATTTTGGACAGAGTGCATTCGTGTTCATCAGAAGGCATTGATCAACTTATGGACATTAAAACCCAGATTTTCTTTCTTCATTCTGATTAGCGACTGCTGGCATTAACAATAAAGTTTGTCTTTGGAATCCGTATGTGGTTTCTAAACCAGTTGGGGAACTCCGGGGTCACTCAGCCAGTGTAATAGCTGTCCAGTTCTTTTCTGAAAGAAAACAACTTTTCAGCTTCTCCAGAGATAAAGTAAGTAACATTGTGTATTTCATTTCTTTACTTATATCTCTCCACTTTTACCTGAGCTCTACCGTGGTTCTTGGATTTCTCTGAGCGATGATGCCACATATACTGTTTAACCATGATGTAGAAATAAAGTGTTTATTGATGATTACTTAATAATAGTCCTGTGCAACTGGACAAAATATTTCATTAAATTTTTGTTCAAACTACTTATCAATGGATTTAATCCTTTATTATTTTGGTGTTGGTCTTGAGGCTTATACTCAGTGTCTGAGCACTGTTCCTAAGCATTGTTGCTCAAGGCTAGCAATCTACTACTTGGGCCTACAGCTCCATCTTTGGTTTTCTGGTGGTTAATTGGAAATAAGAGTCTTATGGATTTTCCTGCTTGTGCTAGCTTTAAACCAAGATCTTCAGATCTCAGCTTCCTGTATAGCCAGTATTATAGGCGTGACCCACTGGGACCTGGTAGATTTAATCCTTTTTATTGGGGTCTTGATCTATCAGATCTTGGGAGTTCCCAAAGTTCTCACTAATTTAATAAGAAAAACTGGGCATGTGGTTCCAGACTTGTTTTTTGGTCGATGTTACACAGTACAGCCAGTTAGCTATTATGGTTTGATATTTTTGAGACTCATTGAATTAGAAATCTAGATTAATGTGATGAATATGAAGCACATTTTACTTAAAGTTATCTGTCAAGTTCTCATTGACAATATGGACAAGTTTTTTTTGTTGTATTTTGCAGTGTTGGGTTTCAATCTAGGGCCTTGTACATGCTAAGCAGGTACTCTATCACTTAGGTCTTGATGACCAATTTTAAATATGGTTGAACTTTATGGTGCTAGAACCAAACAATCTAAGTTGGATTTTGAGCACACTACAGATATTCATTAGGGAAATTGCTTAAATCTCTACAAGTCTTATCTTTTGTGTCTCTGTAAGACTTTCCTTTTACATGATTTGGGGTGTCATGGGGCCTGAACTCTGGGTCTGGGCGCTGTCCTTCAGCTCTTCAGCTCAAGGCTAGAACTCTACCACTTGAGCCACAGCACCACTTCCTGTTTTTTCTGCTAATGTGGTGCTGAGGAATTGAACCCAGGGCCTCATGCATGCAAGGCAAGCATTGTACCACTGAGCCACCTTCCTAGCCCTTTTTTACATGATTTTTGAGCATGATTTTTGTAAGCATACAGTTACAACTATGATAGGTTTTGAGATATTCGGTTATTGGAGATAAAGCTAATAAGCTTATTGAGAACAAATCACTGAGGCTCAGTAAATCCTAATTTTTTTTTTATTGTGAAAATACTGTACAGAGGGGTTACAATTACATGGGCAAGATAATGAGTACATTTCTTACCAAGCATTGTTGCCTCCTCCTCCTTTGTTTCCCCTTCCCATCCCATCCTCCCCCTGCCCCCCTGCCCAACCCTCCTCCCCTCCCCTACCAAAGTTGTAAAGTTCGTTTTCGACATAACGACTTGTACATCTCATTGTTGCAATGGGTACACCTGTGTCTCTATTTAAACGATTTGTTTTTTTCCCTTCCCCTCCACAAACTATAACAACATCAAATACAGTGAAAGCAGGGGTTATACTGTGGGGGAGGGACATACAAAGCAACAAAGAAATAATCTTATAAATGTGTTAGAAACAATCGCATGAAAGAAAAAAAAAAACATTTGAATACATATCCTAGGGTTCATTTCCCTAACATCAACTTATCTGAAGATCTTCACTAGCTGTACAACAGACAAGGGTCTCATATCTAAAATATACCTGGAACTCAAAAAATTAAGTCCCCCAACAACAAATCTTCAAAGAAACAACTGCCCAATCAATAAGTGGGCTAAAGACTTAAAGAGAAACTTCTCCTAATTTTATTCTATGCTAAAGTAGGATAAATTTTATAGAAACAATACTCAAATTAGGTAGAAATTAATCTTCAACTCCATAGCCATTAACCAGTCTAACATCCTTCCAAAGTTACTTATTTTATGATTTTTACCTATGTAATTTTTTCTCTTTTCGTGTAAATTTTACTAACCAATAGCTAATCCCTGTTGATTCGACCATCAGGTGCTCAACATTAATTTCACCTGTCCATCTAATTAAAACTCTTGTCTCTCCCACCACCACATATTGCAAATATTTCCTAAAATGTTTGTCTCCCAGCTGCCATCCATTTTTACTAGCTAGGTAACCTGCTGGAAGAATTGTCCAATCCCTGATCTCTGCCATCCTTTGAATTATCATCCCAAATCCTCAACTTTCATGCAAAGCCCTCCTCTGATTTATCAGGCTATTTCCTTCCTTGGTTTCCTTTCACTCATGTAATGTTGCCATGTGATGGGCTGTTCCCACCATCCAGTTTCTCCTGCCTCCAGTTCCCTGACTTGCCTTATCTGACAGAGGCCTACATGTCTTCCAGTCTTGGGAGAGGGTCTTGCTTCTATTAGGTGTTTCTTTCTATGCAATTCCATTGCAGTTGAGTGTTCTTCATTACCGCTTGTGACACTCCGGCTTCCTTAAGGAGGTTGGTGACTTTGTAGCTTGTGTCTTGGTGCCTACTTCAGTTCTGAACACCTGGTCAAGTTCATTTGGTGATCACTTCTTGACACCTTGAAGTGAAGACAAATTGTGGGGCTTCTACAGGGCAAAGAATCTCTGAAGGAAATGGTTTATGATACCCTCGTTAGATTTAGTTGTTCTACTTTTTGAGGTCTCTTAACACTATTTTTTAACTTGAATGACTGATCTTAACCCAGTCAGAATTATTGGCTCAAGCAATGTAGAAGTGCATTGTCTCTTTCATTAGATTTTGATTGCTTGAGCACAAAGATTTTTTTCCTGCAATCATTTCTGTGTTCCCTAGACCTAAAAACTATTGGTGTATTAAAAGCATCCATGTTTAACACATGCTGAAGATAATCTGTGAAATAGTATAGCTGTTAAGTAAATGACCACATTTACAAGTTAGGGGCTGCCTCTTTGTTTGATTTTTGTACATATATGATCATCAATATGTGAAGTGAGTAGGTCCTTATCAAAAATGAGCATAGTACAAATGCCTGATATTGTATCATTATTAAACGCCTGATATTGTATCATTATTACCTTGGAAAGGTTTTTTTATAACTTTTAAAGCAAGAAAAGCAAGTCCTGAGAGTTATATAAATGATTATGTACAACTTTCCTTAATATTAAGCCTAGACACTTTCAAGGGCAGTTTTGCCCATCAGTCTTTATTTTGAGTTTTAAGCCATTACATCATAATAAAGATTGTCATGCTGTTGATCACATTATTACGAGTCCATGCCATCCTGATAAATGGATGATAATCTCAATTCTTATGTCTGAAGCAAACAACAATGCTTTCTGCTACCGTTCTGCTGATTGTCATAAAATTCTTTCTGGATATTTTATAGAACTGGAGCTCAGCCAGAAAATAGGGAGAATGAAAAAGCATCTTTTTCTTCTTCTTCTTCTTGTTTTCCAAAGAGCCTTTGATCGAATCACATTTTGTCTGATGAGATGATTTACAAACCAGAGAAAGATCTCAATAATTTCCTCCGAAAATGATCTGAGGTTTAAGTTCTGTTAAAGATTGTACAGTTGATGCTTCCCAGTGATGACTGAATAATAATTTTATTCCTTTAGAATCTGGCATCAAACAACATAATAGCCCAGTTGCTCTTTGCTTTGGCCTCCAAACTAGTTTTTCTGAAAACAGCAGTCAGTCTAGCAAGGCCCTGCTGGGAGCCAGTAATTTGGTCATTTGGAGGAGGAACTACCAGGGGAGAAAAAGGATTTTCAGGGCCTTGGAGAAAATTTCTCAATTGGGGGCCAACATTGAGCTGAATCCAGCTTTTCTAGTGTGCATAACTGTTCTCTCCAGGGCTACTAATCCTGATCTGGCCACCAGAATTGGATTCGTTTGTAAGTTAATACTTTGAGCTCTGATTTTTTCCCCCCCCAGAGCCTGGCATCTGTCTTCCAGAACTAAAGTTGGCAGAGAAAACAGGTGACTGTGTCTGTGACTACAACTTATCTATTTATCTTTTCTTTATACTACTCTCTCCAACTCCTAGCTATTCATCAATTAGAGGAACTTAACTTGCACAAATTAATGAGTTAATTCTCTTTGGTAAAAATTGCAAGCAAGGAGAAGGCATGTAGAACAAATATGGCCTTTTCTCATTTCTCCTTCAAATCAATTTTTCTCCAAGAAATAACAATTGCCAACATTTGAATTAAGTGAATATGTTGCAGCATTCCACTTCATGCATTATTTTAATGTTAATAATAATGTTAATATTAATAATAATGTGAACATGGTGTTATGCTATATTACCCTGTTTATCTGTACAAATACTTATCAGTTTATCTGGAAGTAGTATCACACAAAATGCATTTTTTATCTTTCTCTAAACAAAAATCTCTTGGAGATACTTTTATATTTGTAAATTTAATTAATTTTTTCTCTGAACTTCAAAAGGTTATAAAGGGGGTTACAATTTAATGTGTGTGTCTAAGTGCCCAGTGCACTTCCTCTGAGTCTTGAAGACTTTCATACCTGATCTGTGATTCTCCATGTCTCAGCTTCCTGAGTAGCTGGAATGACAGATGTGAGCCATACCTCCAGCCTATCAAAATTATATATTCTTGTTTAATAATTCCAATATGTGGAGTCCTTGATGATATAACCCTGATATGTGCAATTCTGGCTCTTCTACCTCTGATTAACTTGTTTCCTTTTCTGATGCTTGGTTATGCTTATTGCCATCACGTTTTTTTACAGTTAGCGATCTCAAGGCATGTTGAGGAACTAAATGAGATGCTTTCCTCCAGAGGAGATAAGTGATTGTTTCTGCACCGAGAAAAAGGGGAAAATGACTTACTTGGGCTCCTGCCTGGCCCTTAGATGTTCAGGCAGCAGTGTGGCTGCCTGATTCCTTGCCACTTGACCCCACTCAGAGCCTTCCTGTGGTCTCTTCATTTAT